TTTCTTTTCTTCTTCACATCTCTGATAATGGTCGCCTCCTCCCAGGGTGAGAGGTTGATAAGATAAAGATACATGTAATATGCAAAGGGGGAATTGCAATGACAAACACCAAGCATCGAAGTTTCCTGATGTTCTCGACTATCCACACACACACACACACAAACACACACACACACACACACACACACACACACACACACATAATATATGCACACTATACTAACACACACACACAAACGGACACACACAAATGCACAAACACACACACACACATCAAAACACACACCTTCTCTATCTCTCACACTCATAAAACACTCGAAACACTCTCTTACACACAGAGCAAGCCCTCTGTCGTACACACAAACACACACACAAACACACAAACACACACAAAAATACACATACAAACACACACACTCAAACACTCATACACACACACACACACACACACACACACACACACACATACTCACACGCACAGACACTTACCCATACACACTCTTTCCCTCATTCATAAACCTTCAGACAACCTGTTCACTTGTTCACTTGGTCATCTACTTGTTTACTACCTTAACTTAACCTAACCTTTTAGAGTTGAAACGGTTTGGGTTAGAGTAAAAGTTAATTTGTGGATTGCAGTAGACATGTAGGTCGTCAAGTACAAGAATTGTCTGACAGAGCCATGGTAAACCGGTACATAGAAAAGAAACACCACGGTAGAACGCCAATTGGAAAGTCACCGGCTAGCCTTTTTTACTCTGTCAACTCCTTCCCTATGTTCTCCCTCACCTTCCGTCTAACTTCCCTCTCTACTTTTATTTTACGACTTCCCCAATTCCACAAAATGCTTTTCAGTAACTAAAAATTCTTCCCCCCACCCTCTATACCCCCAATAAGGTTATAATACTATTAGAGACCGTGGTAGTGACGTCACCCAGATAAACGAAAGGGGCCGGTGAGGGCAAGAATTAGCGCCGTCACCCTGCGCGTCCCAAGTAGTTTACATAGAGGTATTTCTGGAATTGTATGGTCTCTTTGACTCCTCCTAATATATGTACTCCCTGTCCTATGCTTCCCCACGTCAGCCTTGACCTTGACGTAACGGTGGACGATATCGTGGACATGATTGCTCGTCTGCTGCACGGTAACTTTGCCGGACTCAGCCGCACGTACTCTGTTCACGTGACGCCTGAAAACTTCCAGGAGATGATCATCACGCCAAGGCAACATGTTCTACTGCTGCTCAATGACAAGAGTGAGTTTGGATAACACGTGACTGCATTTATTTGTCCATTTGTTTTTTGTTTTTTTTAAAATGATTGATAAATCCATTCCAGCATATTGTGCATGCAGTTTTCCCTTCACCGTAAAAGCGATACAATATTGGAACAAAAGTTTTTAGTACTAAGCAATAGTACACTGTATTTGCTTTGAAACCAACGTATCACTTTTCCAGAGTTATGACCCGTTTTCCAAGATGGCGGCCGCAGGTGAAACACCCTGCCAGCACTAAAAGAACCTCATAAAAGTTATAATTTTTCGTACAAATGCATTTTTTTCTTCTTTTTTTATGATTATACCGATAGAATAATATCATCTTTTTAAGGTGGTCAATACTTTGCTCAATTTCTATTTATAAAAATTGCTATACTTTTTTTACCTCTAAAAGTATGATCCAGCAATGGAACGCTATGTAGGAGAGGGTACGTGTTTTTTCCCGGGCTGAGATTTGACCTTTGTGTCTCACTGTGGCTATTATTTGGAATAATATTTAGATTTTCTATCTGTTGTTCAGTAACGGAGACATGTAGATCGTTTTAAGATCGATTTTCTGAAGCCTGATCATACATGCGCTTAAGAAATTGAATCCGAACCATATGTTGGTTATTTAGGAGTCCTGCTAAGCCTATATTCTAGTACTGAGTCTTTATAGCATGTCTCTTTAGGCATTAATGTTTCTTTTCAAGGAATTGATTTAAAAAATTTGTTTTGGTTTTTTTTCAAGTAAAAGAACAAAATCATATTATTCCTTGTTATTTGTACTATTGTTAGGTGGATGATACCCCCCTCCCCCGAAAAGAAAACACCAACATGCATACTTGGTCAAACATCTGCCCTCATTTGCACTTAACAAAGACAACGTTTGAACATTTATTACTGAAACTGTTAAGCTTACCAGGAGCATGCTGTTAGCTCAGCTTGTATAACGCTGGACCATGGAACGGACGCAATGGAATTCGCCCCCCCCCCCTTCCATGACGTCACAGCCCTACGTGCTGAAAGTTTGATCCTTAAGTTGCCCGCCTTTTGTAATCGAAAGGTTTTTAAAAATGACAGATGTAGGGTATCGAGACTCGTAAGTGATCATTCATATCTCTGAGCATTGTGTGCGCATGTGTTCTTAATTCGAAGTACATTGTTATAATGTTCCCTGCTCACCATGCAGAGGTAGGAATAGGACTTCCAAGAGGATATATACTTATCATTTTGTGTTGGAAATTAAAGATTAATCCACACACACGCCGCAGGTGTACACAGTGCACGAAATATCAGTTATTGATAATTCGCCCAAAACTTCATTCAAGTCCAAGTGTACACACACACACATCTGTTTAAGCCCTGTGATATCATAACAGTAACGCAAACTTCATTAATTAAAGAAAAAGGTGTGTGTGTGTGTGTGTGTGTCTGTGTGTGTGTGTGTGTGTGTGTGTGTGTGTGTGTGTC